TTGGTCGAATAACAGAGTAGCTTGCAAACCGGGAACCGTGTAAACGGCCTTTGCCAGCCGGCTCCTTACTGTTTCGGCCATCGACTGGTCCGGAAGTAACCAACGGTACCCCCTTGTTTCGTTGCATCATCGATCCGGGGACATCGTGAAACTATGCTTTTCACGCTGGACAATTAACTGTACACCCTGTACCGTTCCTCTCTATATGGATTTTGCTAAAGCAATGGAAAAGCTGTAAATCGCTAGCGGTACAAGACTACTGCTATTTATTATACTTTATAAATCATCGCGTTCTGACTTGAGCGTTATAGCAACTTAGGTGTACCTTTTCGAGTCACGAAGACACATCGTGACAGAGGACAAAGTTACATATGAATTAATTAAGGATCGAAGTTTCCGATAGACGATAGGACGACGCCTCTAGAAATCGCTATCTTCCTTTCATCTTCGAATTTTAATTTACACTGATTTTTAGCTCGTCAGTCGAGGAGAAGCAGTTATTCGAAAGTGTCCTTGTAACGTGATTATCCTCCATCAACCGTGTGCTTTAGGCAGGCGAAGAGGAACGTAGGTGTCACCGACCCATAAACAATAGAAAAACCAAGGGGCTCTAACGAACATCCTGCAGGCCATCGAAACAACAATAAAGAGAGTATTTCAGTGTCAGAAAACAATAACAGCATGACCATCTCTGACCTGGGCCCCGGCGACGTCCCTATCATAGAACCCAAACCCATAGTGTATATAAACCTTGCTAAAACTAGCTGCCGACATTCTCTGTTATAACACTATGAACCGTCACTTTATTGCATTCGTACAATAAATTTTACTACTATGTCTAAAGTTCAATTCTTTATTTTATTTACGAAACGTTGCAACTATCACCGGTGAATTGTCAATTTCGTGATTTCTTGTGTCTCTTACGTGACACAGGGATTGAAATTTGATCGATTTGGAAAGCTTTCTCTCGTTATAGGTAAACAGAGGATTAACTTATCAGTCGGCGAAAAGCTTCTATAAATAGAAGGAGAAGGCAGTTCTTCGAATAAAAACGTCATTTTGCCAACAGCTTTGTTCACCTTGCGTAGCTATTGAAACGATGTTTAGAACTCGCAGAGTCGTAGTTGGAACGTGTTTGTACGAGCGTATTTGAATTGGAAGAGAATGTTGTCCTTTTTTCCCCTTGCAGACCGAGTGTTTTCTGCTTTTTATGCCAACGCGTGATACCTGATATTTTTAAGTCTAACGACCTACGAAGTTCTTCTGTGTAGTAACGTATGTTACCAAGGTACGTACCGTCGTTTTTCGTGATTAACCGACCGAATTTCTGACACTGTCTCGCCATGCGTATCCGTCACACGATCATGACTTATTCCTCTACGGATACCTCGAATCACAAAGACGATCGTATCGATCGTTTGATAAAAATTATTTCGCAGACATATCGCTCGAACATACACAGACGTAGAAAGAAACGGACCAAGGTCCATATCGGAATTGATCGTGTCGGTGTGCCATGTCAGATATATCTACACGATTAAATAACAGAAATCGAAATAGCCATCGGAATAATTCCATACTTTGCAAAGTATGGAAGCAAAATCGTTGTTTTCGATATACCAGAGATTACCGCGCTAATCAACTTGTTCTGCGGATAAATTTATGCAGACAAATCGTGTACTTTTTGCGACACCGAACGCTAGTTACGTATTTAGACGACGAATCTACGAAATTGATAAAGAGCGGAACTAAATCAGCCTCGCGTCTTCCGAGACAATATCCGTGGATGATATACACGAATTAAATTAGCAAAATTAGCACGAACAGAAAACGACTACATATATCTGCATGTTCGTGCGATAACCATCTCGGAAGTAACTTTCTTCTCATTATCCTCGCTGGATCATATCTAATTGCAAGTGTGGAACGGGTTTCGCGTGGAAATGGAAGAAAAAGTAAATCAACTTATCGCGACGAAAGGAAAAATAAAAGTGAACCCTCTTTCTCTCTCGTTCGCTCGTCTTTCGCATCAGAGAATCAGTGCCAAAAAGAAATCTTTAATCGTTCCAAACTGCTCGTTATGCCTTCTGTTTCTATGCTAGCTACGTTTATTGAAATTCAGTTTACATCAACTAGGTGGAACGCGTTACGCCACTTGTACGTTCTCGCAAGCCATGATTAAGAGAAATCATGCTCCCTATTACCCTATAGAATAGCAGCTCTCTATATAAACGAAAAACTCTGCGTGCTATCGGCCTACTCGTTAAAATGCGCTTAAAACGGCATCGTGTTGGCCCAATGAGCGACAACAAATCGTTTTCCAGAAAACTATATACCATCCGTACGTCAGCATCGTTAAACCTTATATACATAAAATATATGCATAGAATACAGGTATATCTTGAATTCTATGAAGAATTCTTGATGTACGCTTTGGAGATTTACAGGGATATGAAAGAAACGACATACTTAAAGGTGTTTAACTGAGGGAAAAAAGGCACGGTACATCGGGTTCCCTTAAGTATTTAAGGTAAAGGTAAACGAGGTGCCGTGCTGCTTCAGGCCAATTTACCTTTGTCGTTGCGAAATTTTGGCAGGACAACTACCTGCAGTGGTATACGTCAAAGTAACGGAAATTTTCCATCGTCTTCCGTCTACGAGTAAATCGTTTAAAAGCTTTCCTTTCGATTTGTTATAGAAATGCAAACGGTTTCGGCATTCAACGTTTTGCGCAATAAAAATCTTTGTAGGACAATCGACTGGCAGTTGTAATACGATTTCGTAATGCAATGAAACTTTTTAAAACTCTCGCCCTCTGCCTCTCTCTCTCTCTCCCTAAGAATTTCGTTCCCTTCCCTTTTCCATCCTTTAGCGATGAAATCAACGCGAAAGAATAATTGTCACGTTATCGATATCGTCGTCGACTTCCGTATTTTTTGGGACATTTTCAATTATCTCTTTCTATCGCTGTCGAATTTCTTAAGTTCAAGATACGAAAGAATTAAAGGATTTACAGCAACAAAGAAGGAAGCTGTAATATCTAGATTTTATTTATTGGAATAGAAAGAAAGGTAAAGTATACAAAACATTTTGCATCCGGAAGTGTAGAAATTTATTACCATGAATTACGTAGCGCGTTTAAAAAAGCGATTTGATTTTTATTGATTTCAAGTTGGTTTTATTGGTTTAGTGAAATTACTGGAGAATGAAGCTGCCTTCTGTAATTGCAACGATCCCTTCAATTGTTATCGATATGCGACAGAACGGATCTCTCTCATGCAACATGATTTCCATCAATTCGCAGTTACACAAATAACAAGCGAAATAAAACCTTGTTGCGCGCAAACGATCGTTTCGCGACGTTTCGCTTCAATTAGAATCGCTTAACTGCACGAACAGAGATTAGCCTATCCTCTAACGGCGAATATTCGTCAAGATTCGCTAACAATCGTCAGACGCCTAACTCGACACGCGTTTGTCGTTTCAATCGGTTGCAAACGTAACTGACGGCGGTTTCGCGAAGGGTTTCCTCGCGGCGAACCTTCACGGATACACTCAATTGTGTCAGTCGTTTTCTGACAACCAAAAAGAGGGAAAAGAACGTGATGGGATATTAGTAACGTTGCCTCGGTAATACGGAGTTTCACCATTCCGAATTATGTTCTTTCTGTTCTGGTTACGACGCCGACACGATTTTCTCTTTTAACTATTGCACACTAGCGATTCAAGATAGGACTGTTGCCAGTGTGTACATCTCATCTTAATCATATTTCTTACGCTATTAATGCAACACGATAGAAACGGCACGCGCACTACAGATTTAAAAGCACGTCAGACAAAGTACGGGTATAAAGACTCGATGCGTCACTGTCTTGGGAAAAGATTTTTCTTCGAATCGAGATTTTAGTTTATATTTATTTGATGTATGATAGTTTAGAGATATTCTCATGTATACTTCCTTCTTTTATACAAAACCCTCGAATTTGATAAATGCGTTTGATTTATTTCCACCATTTAATAATTCAACGTTATTGCTATGTTTCCAAAATCTAGTTATTTGTTTCAGAAGTAAATAGACTATAATTTATCTACCGTATGATCGTTAGTAACTTCAAAGTTCCAGGTAGAAATGTATCGCCTTATTTCGACAAAATTTACGAAAATTATTAAAAGAAAGCCATGTGATAGGACGAAAATAGATCGGCGTAAAAATAAACGATACTTTCGAACAGGAAAAAGGAAAGAAACGAGTATCGTTGTTTGAAATTTAAACATTACATATCGTAATGTTTAATGTCGGCATTGCATATAGTAAGGTGGAGAATTATTCTGCAGCTCCAAAAATCCCCAAGATGGCCAAAAACCAAAAATTCATTGAAAATTAAGAACGCTCGTTATCCTATTTGCGATTTGTTCGATTTAATATCGTAGGTCGACTTAACAATATGTAACGATACGAAACGAAGAAAGACTTATGTCAAAATAAACAGGATCGGACGAAAACAAAAAATATAAAACCGACCAATGGTCCATAAACTCAGCTGAGAGGAAAAAGGATGCTTGTCACCCTGGCAGACGACGTGCTGTCCGCGTGCTCGACAAACACTATAAGATACGTGTATTTCAAAATATTGTATGACAGTACTCACTAGCATTCGTAAGGACGGCTACTTTTCGATGAACTTCTGTATGAATAACACATTACTATCAACGATTCACTTCAAATTATATCGGGATAAAGAGAAAACTTCGACAAACCGCAGCCATACCGTATGGCAGCACGACGAAGACTGCCTCTATCAACCGAAACACGAACTAATGTAAGTACATGCTCGAACAGAAGTTTCCACCTGATCGAAAAGTGTAGCCCCGCCTTTCGACCTGCCTGTACTTAAGGATTGGACATAGAATTTTGGTATATAATGTAATGATCTATAATATTAATTAATATTGGCCATTTGCTATATCATAACAATGAAAATGAAATTACTACAAATTTTCTATACTTATGAAATATTATTTATTTTGAAAAATCTAGCTATGTATAAATAAGTGGTCAGTCTTTAACAATTTTTTATGAGAGATCATTTCGCCCTTTTGGCATATTTGTCTTCTAATTCATGCAGTTTAGAATCAAGTTCTGCCATAGAATATGTCTGAAATGTTTTTTCGTAATGAGTAGTTTTTGGAAATTAAATTATATGACTTAAAAGATATCACTTACCCTTTTCCTGACTGGTTTAAATGTTCCTTTGAGGTTGTTCATATCTTCTGCTTTCTGCAAACAATAATTAATGTTGGAGAATCAATAATACTGAACATTAAATCGAATTTAATAATATTTCATTAAACTTTTACCCAAAGATCCTTGTATTCGGGAGATATGCCTTCTAAGTATAATATTCGATCTTCGATATTTTTTAGTCTTTCGTATACATCTTTGGGAACAGGTCGATTTATTCCAAGAATTTTTTCGGTGGTTGAGATTCTTTCATCCAATACGGACGAGTAATTATTATTTGTTTGGGTCGGTCCCGACATCGTAGCTTTATGTAAAGCATGTTGATCGACTGTTTGAGGTCCCCATGCATTGAGTACTCTATGCACTATAAAAATTTATGTTTAAATATTTCATCATTTATCAGTACATTACTACCTTGATCTACCTTTAACATGACTTTTAGAATCTTTTCTCCTAATAAGAATGGCATCTACTCTCGCACATGAATTATCATTCTCATCATTTTGATCCCTACAATATATTATCATTAAATTACAACTATCGTAAATCGCTTACTATTACGTGTTTTTTTGTGAATGTCTTATTGACTAACCTTTGACAACAAAATTCTTGTACGTTAACAATGTTTACTTGTTGACGTTTTCTTTCAATGAAAGCTGATATTCTGTGATTCAGTTCAGCCGAGGTAGCACGAATCTGAACAAGATTTGGATCAATTATTACATCATCCTCTTCTTTTTCTACTTCTTCGCCATCATATTCTATTACAGTTTCTACTGTGTCATTTACTACTGTAATATTTTCTGATTCTTCTACATCAATCATATCATGAACTACACAAAAAACAGTCACAAAATGGGTTAATGGTTGTAAAATCATAAAACTATGATTAACGATTTGTTAACATTCACATATATTTACTATATAATCTTTTTCAAATTTTTTACCATTCTACAATATATTACATGAATATAATATATATTAATTTTATATAACTGAATAGATACATTAAAAATTTCGTAAAATTATGTAATTGTACTCAATGATTTCTATATGTTACAATTCTCTGTCTTTCTATAAAATTAAGGTATCGTATAAAAATATTATTTACTATTTGACCAGGTACACTCCTTATTTTCTTTCCATTGAACTTCTTGAGTATCATATACCTCTTTCTTCCAAATTGGAACTGATGCTTTCAATGAATTAATAGCATATTCAATAGCTTTTAATGATTCTTCCCTATGAGGAGAAGAAATAGCAATTACTACGCTAGCTTTGGATACTGGTACCTCCCCTAGGCGATGATATATAGCAATATGATAAACATTCCATTGAGAACGAATTTTTGAACATATATTTTTCATTTCTTTTAAAGCCATTGGTTCGTATGCTTCATACTCCAATCTTAAAACCTTGAAGTCATAAGTATATGAGTAAACATATCTTTACATTTGTAATTATAATTTCAATGGATAAATACCTTCTTATTATCAAAATTGTCACGAGTAATGCCAACAAAACTTGATACAGCCCCACAATTAGGAGCTGTTACTAAATCAATTATGTGTCCAACATTTAACTCTTCTTGTTGCAATTTGACGATATCTTTTGCAGTACTCATTCTAACCTAAAAATACCGCATTCATATTGTAAGACATTTTATTATTAATTCATAATGACGTATTAGCTGATTAAAATATTCATATTAGAAACAAGACAAACCTCCACTAAGTGGTGGAATAACAGCAACTTCGTCTTTTTCTGAAAGTACTAGTGTCGTGTCTGAAGCAACAAATTCTTCGTTCACTGCTAAGACTGCTGTATCACGAATGCTTTCTAATTTAAATTGGCTTATTATTTTATCTAATAAGTCAACATATAATAATTTTTGAGGAACGGTAATGTAACATTCTTTTTTCCCCGTTAACTCTCTTGCTTTGGCAAAAAAATAAACCTTCACTTGTATTTCAGCAACACTGTTATCCATTACGAAGTACATGCACACAATAGCAGCGCAAACTCACAAAATACTTCAACATTTTTATCGCAAGACATATAATTATCAATATATCGAATCAAGTTATGTAATTAAATAATCATCCAAAGATAATAGGTCCGTTATCTGAAACTCAGAACAAGGTTATATTTTTCTTGAACTGCATCATCTTGGACTACATTAATCAAACTAGTGTCCATGTGTGTTGTGGAAACATATTAAAAAATTTTAATAATAAAATTAATAATAAGTCACGAATAGAAGTAAACAATTAATTGTTAGCTGATATTGTTAAATGTTTTAATACTTCTTATAATAAATTACACACTTGACTGCGCTATAAGCATATATTCTAAGCCATTCACTTTTAAGCGGTAGAATATAAAATAATTGAATTTGTAATTGTGGTCAAAATAAAAACATATTTACGAATGTGAATTATCATTTTTGATATAAAAAGAGATTATATGACTCCTAAGTACACTATGCTTATATATATATATATTACAGCTTCCAAAAAACTTGATAGAACGAAGGTATTCTATAGATCGACTTCAAGTACCTTGTATGATATTAAGGTCAACCGAGAAATGAGGTCAACGTAGCAAGGAATCGTACTGTTCCGCTTGCATAATATTCGATGCACAAAAACTAATACATATATTTGTTGGATTATTTCTACAACTCATATTTAGGGAATATGTTAATCAAGGATTACTTATTTTTAATATTTTGTAAAAATTGTAATAATATAAATGTAATTGTGAGTTTCAGAATATGTGGAAAATCTAATCTGGTAGTTATTAGAGATGAGAAACTTTATAGGATGCAGAAGTAGCTATTTTATAAGTAATGTATTAACAGCGGTGACGATGTGTCAGTAAGCAATAACCTTGGATAAGCATTTAAATGTATGCATCGCGCGTGCAGCACAATGTGCGCGCACGCTTAAGTATAGATGGACAGCCTGCTAACCCAAAGTCTAAAAGAGTGTAGGGATTTAGCTCATTCACTCGAGTTGCTGTGGGACAAGGACTTTATTTTTAAGGAATTTATTCCTTTAACAGTTAAGTAACGCTCCTAAGACTTACTTAAGCGTCACAATCGAAAATCACATAACACGATAAACCGGTTATAGCAATAGTTATACATATGTTTATTTAGAGATGCTACCTCATTCGAACGCTGGATATGTGACGTAATAAGGGAAAAAATTCCGTGAGTGTTACTTAACGTGATCAGTTCTAAAGGATCAAACTTTTCAATTTTGGGGTAGAAAAATTATTATTGAAATTTTTTAATCAGTTTTTAATAATTAACGTAATGAATAATGCAACCAAAATAAATACACAATTAAATTCGCGCTTGGTAATGTAATTATGCATATAACAATGTAACTATTGTAATGTGTATTTCACGTAGAAGTTTAGAATGATTTAGTAGCGAAACATACGGTGTGTCGTATGAGAGAGAAGTGCAATCGAGCGAGGTCGTACAGTGATTATATATTGAGTAACGCTACTAGTGCTACTAGTCCCATCGCTCGAAAAATTCATGACAACATATGTGTTACATGCACCTACATAATTGGATCGGAGGGACAGTTGTGAGAGTCATACACGCGAACACAACAACCAACGTGTTCGCGCCTTTAGTTAAAGCAAATAGAAGAAGCCGAACAGGAGTATCACGAGAGACAGACAAATTTCACTTCATTTCATTTCTGATGATATAACAGATGATATAAAGATCCCGAAATGCAATCGTGTGCGCGCGTGTCCAAACGTAGTTTTGATTATCAGGTGAAGGTTTAAATAGTAGCCAGGAGCCACCTCGTGGCTTAAGAACAACATTTTCAAAGGAAGAATAATCCCGCGATTCACGAATTGTCGCTCTTGTCGTTTCAACGATGAGCTGATTCATAACTAGTAACAGCATTGCGACATGCGACTATGACTGAAAGCGTTTGTGTATATAGCATTGTTCACTCATGGATTTATACGATTAGTTTGTAATGCGAAACAAATTTTTATCTACGTATTTACGTATCGTCTGATATCACTGCAACTTTGAACTTTGCCTCTCTTGATAATGAATCGTTTTAGTTGAAAAGAAAAAAGGGAATATGTATTTTTGGAAAGCAATTTTTTAAGGGGAATCGTTTTAGATACGATTTACAGTGTGCCAGCAATGCCGTTTCAGTCACATGTGCGCGCAATCGGTATTAGAAAACAATACCCACGAGTTTCAACGATGACTGCATTGTTTCTGCCCATTGCAAAAAATCTATTATGGTATAATGGACGTTATTTTGATCATGCATATTGATAATGTAATAACATTGTCAGTCTCTTCCGTTTTAATATATGTCGATAAAATATCGTGATTTTTTTTAAATTATTAATGTGAGATAATAACAAGAACAGTGATATTTTTTAATCGATTATTTTTGCAAATTATTTACTCAAATCTCTACTGCGAAATTTAAAATAATATGAATTATATTTTTGAACACGTCATTCATTACAAGCCCATAGGGCACACTATCTTCGTTGTTTTCTTAGATAAGACTCTGAAAAGTACATCTTTTTTCAGACTCTAACTATATTAACGGATAAGAATATTATTAACCAACAGATGCACGTACATTACGTACACGTATACGTGATATATCCTATGATTTCACTTTCGAAGAAAAATGGCTGTTTCCCTTTCGACTGACTAGATGTAACGGATCCCATTATTTCCATATCTTAAAGTCAATGACTGTTTCGACAAACAGAAAGTTAGTTTCAAAGGTATGCGACGGTATACATCGACTTCAATTCATCGTCAAAATTCGTAAATATTCTCAATAATTAATCCATATTTGAATAATAAACCGAATCATCATGCGATACCATAGTAGCATCTATATTCGTTGATAAAAATTGATCTAAATATCATGCATGATCGTGATAAGCGACTATGATCGTAGTTTTGAAATCATCGCTAGGAAATCAAATGCATCTTATTCACTTGCACATGAACTATGATGTCATACTGCAGTGCGCACCAACAAGATTAACGTCCTTGACAGGAAAAATATTTTTATGATATAGACGGTTTTCTCTTAATAGGAACAATATCTTTTAAAATAGCGAATTAAATACATGAAATTCAAATTAGTACCGTTTACGACATCCTCGCATTACTTATAGATACATACGATAAATGCAACATGCCACGGTAAGTCGCAACTGTAACTGTATGATGGTTAGCAGTAAAATCAATCGATAGCTATTCGTTCAGCTAACTCTGATTCACGGTAGATCGGTCGTGATACGTATTAGAAATCATTAACTCGCTTGTGACGAAATATTAAATCGGTCAGATGAGTTTATAAAGGTGGGAAAGAAATGCAATAAATTATGTAATATAATGTTACATTGTTATTATCAACAGAAGAAGCGAAGTTAAATCAACGAGACTACACTTTGAAATTATTAAGAAGTATAAAGTGAGAAACGAGCGTATAAATGTGTGTTTGTCGTAACGATGGAATTTTTGGTTAAAAGATGGAAGAGTATATGCATGAATGCATAAGGGCCCGAAATAAGACGCCCCTGGTGTACGTTGAACAGTACGTTCCTGCAGAACGGAGCCCGCGAGGGCTAGTTAGAAGAAGAGAGTCTAACTGGTGATCCGAAGTGGTATAAGAGCGAGGGAGACAGAACGAGCGAGAGAGGAACGCGAGGGCCGAGGCACACACCATCGAGTATCAACCAGCTGGTTGGCAAGGCAGCCGCGAGCAGTCGCCAGTGAGACGCGGTACCCCGCGAGGGCTTTCGTCGTTTGTTCGTTCGTCTATACGTGTGTCTATATGTCCGTCATCTCCCTTCCGCTTAAACCTATCGTGGTCGTGCGTACGTTCATTCGTTCGTCCGGTCCGTGTGTGGTGCGTCTCCCATCGCTTACTTTGAACGACACTTGCCACCGGTCGCGACTATCGTCTCTGTGTCAAAGTACGTCTCTCTCTTACTCTACCTCTCTCTCCTCGTTTCTCTTGGCGTGCCCGACCGAAAAGACAAGATGGCTGCCGACTCAGGAATGGAGACGTGTCCCTCCCCGGAGATTGCAGACTCCAGGAAGCGGCCGCTTGATTGTGACGCGGAAAATGGCGCGACGAAGAGGTCTCATTACGGATCAGGTATTTTAATTGCGCGTTGTCAATCATTTTTATCGACTGTCGCGGTCTAAGCTTCCCTACGCACCTTCACCAATTTTCCTATACATACGATAAAGTACACTCACAATGATTTTCTCTCTCCTTCTCTCTCTTTCTCTCGCTCTCTCTTTTTTCACTGTTCTCTCTCTTGCCTGCGATGCTCTTTACTCTCTCGCACGCCTTTGACAATCTTGTCGCTGGTGCTGCTGTTGACATAGCGATCGCTCGCTACGACCGTTCCCTTTCGTTTCCCACTTCGAAGCCTGGCGAACGTGTACACGGAGGCGAGAACGCGAACACGGTGCACCGCACAGCGGTTCGCGCATCCTCTCGTGCCACGTCTCCTTCTCTTTTTCCGTCTCTCATCTCCCCTATTTTCCCTATTTCTTCGCTATTTCCTTGCCTCGTATCGTTAGCGCCAATTCACGCAACACCTGTAACGGTGTTTTTACGCGTTGACGGTCATTTTATTATCGTCAACGTCACCATTGTCATTGTCGTTTTCGTCTTCGTTGTCGCCTCTCCCCTCCACCCTTCCCCCAATCACCGTAATCGTCAACATTGTCCTTATTTTCCTGTTCGTCTTCCTTATCGTTTTTGTCGTCGTCGACGTTGTCGTTGTGGCTGTCTCTGCTGTCATCGTGGCCGTCATCGTCGTCATTGTTCCTGCGTGGGCGGTTGTGCCTGTGAACGTCGTTAATGGAGAATCGCTGCTGCGGTGGCTGTCGATCACGGTCCGTGACTCTGCAACTTCGTCCCTGTCGCGCCCGTTTCATCGGACGTGCAACTGCTAAGTTCGCGGCAAGACTCGCTGGAAGGGACCTACACCTTGTTCCATCCGTACGCATATTGTGTACCTTTTCTCTGGCGTATTCTCGTAGTGCAGTGCCGCCGTTGTCGCGAAAGCGGCGTACTAAGGAACGCGCCTGCTACCCGTTAAGTGGCAGTTACTAGGATGTGGCGTATCGGTGAGTTGTCAGGCACACCGTTCCGCTGCCGAGGTTGCGGGTCAAGGTCGATGCGAACCGAGTGAGCGCACAGGGCTTCCATCTGTCAAACAGCTGTTTGCCTTCAACGCATCAAAACTTTGTGTCTTTCCGCATTGCACTTCCCTATCCTTCATCCACCGATTACCCGACACTTTTTCGTGACTCGTGCTGCGTGCTCGTTGATATTGGTCTCGCTGCGCTCGCGTGCCCGTGAGTACGCATGATTTCGCGTTCCACCGATTTAGGAACCAATCAAAAGTCACAAGTTTGAACGCCAATCACAGAATAACGTGTTTTAGTTTGGTGAAAAACGTTCCAAAGTCGCACGAGAGCTACCTTTAGCTTTCAAGTTCAATATTGATGTTTCACTTTCATTCGATTTATCTTTTAATGAATTAGAAATTACTGTGATTTCCGTAAAAAAATTTGAAGTGCTTTCAATGTGTATATGTTTTGTAAAGACTGTGTTAAATTTGTATTTTTCTCTAACTGTTTATGCTAGTGTAATAAATATCATTTCTTACTGAATTCAATGTTTTAAAAATTGTAACTTTTCACCTTTTGTACTCTGTTATGTACTAATTTATAATTTATGTGTCTTTATACCATCTGTCGTTCGATTAATGTAATAATTTCTTTTTTTTTTTATTTTATAGGGGGTGATGGAACATATCACCTCAAAGTATTGGTCCCTGGTGTGGCTGCTGGAGCAATCATTGGAAAAGGAGGGGATACAATTGCCCAGTTACAAAAAGATACAGGAGCCAGGGTCAAAATGTCTAAATCCCACGATTTCTACCCAGGTAGACTGAAAATATTCCCTTATGCTGTATTTGTTAGTACAAGGTGGTATGACAGTCTTTGCATACAATTTTATGCGATGTACAGGAACAACAGAAAGAGTGTGTTTAATTACGGGTAGTTTAGAAGCTATAATGGCAGTTATGGACTTCATTATGGATAAAATTCGTGAGAAACCAGATCTTACGTTAAAGACAACTGTTGACTTTGAATCAGGGAAAACTACCGCAGAGAGAGACAAACAGGTAAAAAGCTTTGTTTATATACGTATATGCTTTTTATGTATGTTTAGTATACCAGAATATTTATACATGTACATTTGTCAGATATTAAACAAATATTGCGTCATTGAAGTTGCTTTTGTTAATGGTGACCTACTTATTAACTGCTTTCGTATTAATTAGAAATGCACAACCAAAAGTGTTCTTGTCATATATCTATTGATTGCAATAAGGAAGGCTAACATTTCTTTATTTACATGTAATGTTTAATATAATATTTTAGGTAAAAATTTTGGTACCTAACAGCACTGCAGGCATGATAATAGGTAAAGCTGGAAATTACATTAAACAAATAAAAGAAGAATGTGGCTCGTACGTTCAAATAAGTCAAAAGGCAAAAGATGTGTCTTTGCAAGAAAGATGTATAACGGTAATTGGAGAGAAAGAGAATAACCGTAATGCATTAATGATGATATTAGCAAAAGTGGCAGATGATCCACATAGTGGAACATGTCCAAATGTTAGTTACGCAGATGTTAGTGGTCCTGTAGCTAATTACAATCCCACAGGCAGTCCTTATGCTCAAGCACCTACAAGCACTCCCACGTATACTTCTACGGCTGGCATCAATACAGGTAAAATTTCTAGTAACATAAAAAACGTGTAATATAGTTACAGGATTAAGGTATGATAGTTACTAAATTGTGACTTACATTTGTTCACAGTGAGTCTCTTGAATGGTGCTGGATTAAGCTTGAACTTGAATTTAGGAGCTGCAATTACAGCAGGTACAGCACCAGTGACAACGCAATTGTTGGAACATATAAAATTAAATTTACGAACGGCAGGTTTTTCGGAACCTGCTGCTAGCGAAATTTTGTCTGCTATCGCTACACTTGCTAAATATAATCTTCTCGGAATGGGAATCGGGATGCCTTCTAGTATGGGATACCTTGGAAATCCTATGGATAGCACTACAACAGCAAATGGTTCGAATAACAATGGCGGCGTATTTGGGCCAATTGGAACAGTTCCTGCTCTTGGATCTACGTCTCCCACACCACGTAATACACTTGACAGATACGAGCCTTTTGATCCATTCAGACAAAACAACACAGCTGCCAGTGCTATTCATCTAAACAACAATTCGTTTGGCCTTGGCACTAACCAGTTATCACTTGTAAGTAAGAGTCCTACACAGGTAGACGCCAACAACAAGGAGACCAAGAAAGTAGACATAGAAATTGCAGAGGTTATAGTGGGAGCTATTCTGGGACCCGGTGGTCGTGCCCTCATTGAGATTCAGCACCTAAGTGGCGCCAACATACAAATCTCTAAGAAGGGCATGTTCGCTCCTGGTACCAGGAACCGCATAGTGACTATCACGGGTTATCCTAATGCAATCGGCACTGCTCAATATTTAATTGAGCAGAGGATCAGTGAAGAGGAAGCAAAACGAGCACGTCAGAATGCCCTCGCCAATATGATCCATTGATTTCAAGTACAGCACTTTTGTTCATCCCCATTATTGAGCTCCGTCATTCATCTTTTCACATCTTGAGGTGATGCTGCGGTAGCTCTCTCTTCCCTTCTTGAAACACTCGTCCACTACCACCTACCACCCGTTGTCATCTATCGCTACATCACTATAGCGCTTGCATTCTCACATCACTGTTCATGCATCCATCATGATTCGTCAACATTTATCTATCTTTTAAGATTATTATGATATATAAATATTATATGTTAAATGATAACTACTACAATTGTTCTGTGATACACCATGTTACGGGACTTTATCACAAATAATACACGTACTACATCAGAGTTACATAATATATCTAGTTGTATGGTATAGGATATTGAAAGAAGGCATGATGAAATTATGATTACATTAGAAACGAAATGGCACAATTTGGCCATAGTTGTTCTTGGAAGGTCAAGACGACAATGTTACATGGGTAATTGTTTCGTTTCATAAAAATAAATCTATTTTTTTCTTTTTTTTTTGTATAGGAGCATAATCTTAGTACTAATATGAAAGATATTTTTAGTTAGAAGGTCATACAGAACTCACAAATTGAATGACTTCGATCTGAGGAATTAGTATTTTAATGTGTATCGTGCAGACCAAATTATATTCATTTCCATAAAATGATGTTGCAAATTATTGTATTGAACTGTTCCTTGAGCTATGAAATGATTAGGCCGATTGAACGATTAACATGCTATATGAGCAAGTTTTCTCGAGTACAGAGTAATACCTTGGCAAAACCAAAGATCTTACATATGTAAAGCAGAAATAACTTGGCTGGAGGATAAATATACATACAAAGGGAGAGCTATTCTATGTATAAACATATATTTATATATTTACAATGCTGGCTGGTCCAGTTAAATGAATAACATAATACTTTATTGCCAAGTTTTATTCTGAATCCCAAAGTCTTTATTTCTCAAAATCTTCATCAAATTATATCTTATAGTATTTAGATTAATGTACCCAGAAGTATATAAACATCAAGTCTCATTCTTCCTTACTCATACCTTAGGAACAGAGGATTCATTATACTAGGATGCTAAGATAAGAATTACTCGATTCATCACTGAATCAAAAAGATCCTCTCATGTAATATTTTGGTATGGTTAACACGCGTTGTACATTAAAACTTTTGTCTAATTATTTTTAGTTTCAAGGTATATCAGTTGAATACAATTTGAGTTAATGAGATATATTTCATGACACTTTGCAAAGCAAAAGCTGTGACATAGAAATTTGTTTTTGTCATTCCTTTATATTATAGCAGCATGAATATAATTATTTTTGTCATGTAAAGATATTTATATTTATATACATCTGTTTTCAATAGTTTAATCGTGAAATATTTTTTGAACAAAATATTCCATTCGCTAGTGCTTTCAATTCTTTTCTATGCAATGATTAATGTATTCTGATGAAAATACAGCAAATTAAGGTTTCTACATACATACATACATACATACATACATACATACATGCATACATAC